GCCGAAGCGGAGTACACCCCTAGCCTGGTGTTCACCTTGGCAGTGGCTTGTACTGCATGGGCAGCATCTCGTGGATACCTTGTGACTCAGGTACCCCGGCTACCACCTATTTCGCTATCAGGTGATCATCGGCCGTTGTTGCAGTTCGAACCGTCGGAACTTCGTCAGGAGTTGATGGACGTCATGGGCTTCCACTTGGGTCTGTCTCCTCCGGGTGTGGATGCCTCCTTTGTCCCTGCACGGTTGGTGGCAAGTGAAGTTCTGCTGACACGAAAGCACCTCCAGGAGAACGAGATCTACATTGGCCCTGGCCACTTCTCCCACCGGTGGCCTCTTTACAATGGCAGAACCCCTTCCGGGTAGGGGAGGGCCGTACTTCTTCTGAAAGTGTCCTCCAGTTTGCCCGATGGATCCACGACCAAACGCACCTCCTCGAGGCCCTGCCTTCACTTCATGGTTGTACATTGATCTGCGACTGCCCCCATAACCAGCTGTGCCATGGAGATATCCTGCGTGCTCTTATCTGGACTACCACCACCTCGAGGCCTACACTTCCGCGCCGGCGCCACCGGCAAGGTGTGCGCAAGGTGGCTTTGCTGGCCGCCGGCCTGCGCCCGGTCCGGGCAGTACCTCTCAGGTTTTCACAGGAGACAGTGATCAGTGCCCTGATGGCAATGTGTCCCCACATCCATTGGTCCGGGTTCCAATGGCCCATGATTGAGGACTTGTTGGTGGATGACTCCCACTTCGTCTGGTTGGCTACCATGCAAACTAGGGATGATTGGCAGGGCCAGGCGTTTGGCCCGTCCCTGGTGGGACCCATCGAGCGTGCAGCCATATCCCTACATGGTTTTCAGCAGGCAGGAGCCGCGGCTGCGGCGAAAGCTATGCCGCCACTGATTCCTTTTGGGGTGGGTGATGAACGACACTTTGAGCTTGCCATGGAACTCAAAGCTCAGCCTACACCTTTCGAGTCGATGGGCATTGTCGATGACAATCTACTCTTTGCCGCAGACCAATATCGGCAGTTGGGTGCATCTCTACGGCAAACTCGGCATCACATGACGCGCTGGATCCATGAGCTGGCCCGGCGCACGTGGCCTATCACTGAGTGGCTACGTCAGTTTCAGCCGCAGGGTCCTGCTCAAGTCACCAAGGGCCGCCACATCGCCCTGATCGGCCTGTTCATGATGTTCATTGGGTGGCCGGACCCTACCTTCATGGAGTGCCTGATCTTCGGTTTTCCATCGGTTGGATTCTCCCCACATGTGCCAGTCTACAAAGCCCAACCGGCTAGTTACATCACTTCGTCGGAGGTGGTACACGGGGCGTGGCAGGACGCGGATCGTCTGCTCCATACGTTGCAGCCATGCGACCACGACGAGGCTATTGCCAAGGCTGGGTCAGACGACGAAGCACTCGGGTTCTGTGGGCCTGTCCTGTCGTGGTCCCAACTTTGTCAGCAGGTGCGCCACTTTCGCCTGATTCGGAGGTTTTGCATTCAGCAACCTAGCGGAAAGCTCAGAGTCATTGATGACGCTGCTGACGGAGGACAAAGTGAACTCAGTCACGACTCCAATAAACTGGATCTTTGCACTAGCATTCAACCGGGTCTACATGTGCAACTTTTATGGCGGGCAGTCAGCCCTCTTCCCAATGCGGACACATTGCTTGCAGACGGCATTTGCTCAGGAGGTGAAGACCTACCTAACGCATATAGGCATGTCCCTATGGTCCCCGAGCAATCCGACCTTGCTGTCGTGGCCTATTATGACCATCATGTTGGAGCACCTCGCTTTCGCAGGTACTATGGTTCGTTGTTTGGCCTGCCCAATGCTGTTTGTTCGTTCAATCGGTTCCCTCGGTTCTTTCAGGCCCTTTGTCGTCGCATGGGATATTGTTTGGCCAGTATGTACTTCGACGACCTGACCGTCCAGGATCTGGGCAGCTTTAAGGGCTCAGCCCAGCAGTTCATCACATCGTTGGCCACCGAACTTGGCTCACCATTTCAACCGGAGAAGCATCAGGTCATGCAAAGTCAGTCTGACTTTCTGGGGTTGGTACATGATGTTACCAATTGTCACCGGGGACAGCCTGTCAGATTTTGGCCCCGAGAGCGTTTGATCACCAAGGTCACGGACCTCATGGACGAGGCCATCCAAACAAACCGACTCCCGCCAGGTCTTGCGGCCAAGCTGTTCGGTTGCTTGGGCTTCCTCAACACGGGATGTTTTGGAAAGTTAGGGCGATCAGGATTGAGCCCCCTGAAGGAACGGCAGTACTCGCGTGACACCGCCCTGACTGAGGACCTCTCACGCTCCTTTCTGACCATCAAATCCCTCTTGGCTTTACGTCCTGAGCGAGAACTACCACTTCAGCCCGGTAGCCGGCAACGCTACCTCGCGGCCTCCGATGCGGCCCAAGATGAACCTCGGCAAGGTTCAGCGGGCCTGTTATTTGTGGGACCTCAAGGTGAACGAGATGCCTATGTCGTCGACATTACGGCGGAGCTCTTCAACCTCTGGTCCGAGCACCCTACCAAAATCGCCCAACTGGAGCTTCTCACAGTTTATGTTGGCTTCATCTTCGTTGCCAGTCAGGCCCGCTCCTGTCAGGGGCTTTGGTTTGTGGACAACATTGCGGCATTGATGGCCCTGATCAAGGGCAGGAGTGATAACCCGGAGTTGGATACTATGGCAGGATGTATCCATGCCCTCCTATATTCACTGCGCAGTGGGTGCTATTTCGATTGGGTCCAGTCCAAGGACAACTGGTCCGATGGTATTAGCAGGCAAGGGATTGACGATAAATGGTATCAGGCTCATGGATTTCGGGTACACCGTGTCCCAGTACCCCACCTCCTACTCCGCCTACCATATGTCATTATCCACCACGTGTTCCAGTTCTTCTGAGTGCTTTGGGAATGTTGAATGCATTGGGAACGAATACCTGGCAGAGGTATGCACCAGGGGTGCGCGCAGCGTGGGCTGCTGTGACAGGGTCACGTTAACCAAAGCACTTTTGAACTCAGACATTTGAAGCTCATGTGAAAAAGAAGCGAGCTGTGTCCGCCTTGTCACACATCGAGTCAAGTGTAACTGATGCAGCCGAATATATTCATTCATTCAAGGTAGGCAGGGTCGGTGATGAGGAATTATTTGATGTCATTCAGTTCACTCACTCCTTTCAGCTTGAGGCTCAAGCCAAAAGGAGTGTCGCTCGTGTGAATCAGGGTCGCTGATTCGCAAGATTCTTTTTGTCCCACCCACCACACCCTGTGCTCGGTACGAGTGGTTACAGGTACTTGTGGCAGCTGCCGGCCTGTGTTCCCATGGTTGCGGTGCGGCCATGTGATTTCCCTGGCCTGTGCGATGTCATCCACGGAATGGCCTACTTGTAGCAGCAGTCTGCAGGAATCGACCATTTGATTTGATTTGATGCTATGGTCTCCAGTTGATACCGATGATCCATGTTGAGCATATGGTCAGTTGTCATTTTGGAGTCTCGGGGGCACCGCGTGGTCGCTGCCAGCTGTGTGCCACGGTTGCGCTGCCTGTCTGTCATTTGATGTGACCGCTGGTCACCCTGGCGCAGTCTGCTGTGAGCCAGATGAGTTGCAGCTGTCGGCATGGCCAGATGCTCTGGCAATGAGCGCATGGACGGGTGCTGTCTGCGGGTTACCATGGTGTCCATGATGTTTTCGTCACTGCTTTGAGTCTTTTGTGGCTGCAGTCTGCTACATAGCCACCACTTTTGCAGCAGTCGGCCAGGCAAAATACTTCAGTCATGAGTCCAGATACCGTTTTCCAGTGACATTGCGGAGCAATTGGAAGTCACTGTACTTGCAGTCTAAGAGTGTCCACTCTATGGTTACTGCACCGTTTACTTTTGAGCCCTACTCCAACATAGTCATAGGACTGATGTTCAGTATCCTCTTGACTATTTTAAGGAGTCTACCAGGTACAGGTAAGGGAACGAATACCTGGCAGAGGTATGCACCAGGGGTGCGCGCAGCGTGGGCTGCTGTGACAGGGTCACGTTAACCAAAGCACTTTTGAACTCAGACATTTGAAGCTCATGTGAAAAAGAAGCGAGCTGTGTCCGCCTTGTCACACATCGAGTCAAGTGTAACTGATGCAGCCGAATAATTAGATATATAATACATGATCATATGAGTCTATAACAGTCTCATATATATATATATATATGGATCTACCATCCTGACCCCCCATCCGAGTCCCTTCTTTTCGCTCAACGCTTCAGCTCATGTCGGACCCTCGCATTTAATTGGCGAATGTGTCGCTTCATAACCAATAACATGACCAGTATCGCACACCATAACGGATTGTTTCTTCGAACTGACTTAAAAGTAGTGAATTGCGTGGCTTCGTGCCTGAGGTGTGATGATTGAATCACGCTGCGGCGGGATGCTTTTTGACACACACACACACACCTGGGATTGCACCAATAAAAACGCATCAACGTTCGTTCAGTGGTGACCCAGCTTTTTCTAATGCAAGATGCACTTGACCACCGCTTTTAGTCTTTTCCAGGTGACAATGGTTCTGCCTGGAGTAAAGCAGCGTTAAAGACAAGGACAAGTACAGAAGCTCAGGGTGCAACGCGAGGATTGCGGCTGAAAAGACAATACCAACAGCTGCAACGTCGAAGAAGCTGAGGAAGCGGCCACCACAAGAGGCCACAACATCAACCGCAAGAGATGCAAATATCCCAAGAAAGAACAACGTTAGTTAGTTGCGATGATGCTGCCAGATACATGTTTGTGGTGAGTTGTAGACCATGTGCATTCATTATGGGAAACTTCACCCACGAGGTAAAACGTGGCCTAAGTCCAAAGGCCTGGTTAAACCAGGCTGGTGAGAGTGCCGGTTGAGCTGGCATGAAAACCCACTGGGAAATATATCTTGGTGGTCTTTTGCCTACCCTGTGTATCTCTACGTTTTTCTCTTCTCTTCGCACCACGCGTTTGCCGTCACCAGGAGGTTGTGCCGATTCATCCCAGTGTCCTCGTGGCCAACCGTTCCCGCTTCCTGGCGGATCTCTTTGGTCCCGACTTCGCCGACGGCTCCCGCGGAGAGAAGGGCGCCAGCGCTAGCGCGGTGCCGGTGTCGCCGCCGTGCCCCGAGCTGTTTCTGCGGGCGCTGCATTCGATCACCACCCGAGCTAGACCGGAAGTCTTGGAGGACAAAACACCGGTGAGACGAGAGGGAAGGGCTGGAACTGGGGATCTGTTGCTCTTGGTTTTGAATCAATTGTGAACAATACGTGAACATGTGGACTTCTGCGTTGATTTGACCTCGGGGAACCCAAGTTTGTCCCTGCTTCAGGGGGAGTTCGTGGGTTTCGTCAAGACTTCGGCCTTTTTGCAAAGCGACGAACTCGATGAGCGGCTGTGCGAAGCGGGCTTATCCTCCTGGAGGAGAGCGTTTCTGCGGCTCACTGCGGCAGGTATGCCACGGCCCGGGTGAGAAAATGTTCATGCTCCCCAAAATGAGAACGACAACTGGGAGTGTGGCGGAAGGCATCCAAAACCAAAGTTGGGAACCCAAAAACGATTCCCGGCCTTTCTGTGAGAGGAAGAATCTTCAAACATGGTCTATACTATAAGTAGTATTCTTCAATGTTGTTAAATCACTGCTTCCCCAGCTACTACCAAGGCTGTGTCCTCAAGTGACTTCTCCACACTGGCAACTTTCGGATTTGTGCTGCTGCGCCCCTCAAACCAAGACCGTGCCGCACTTCTTAGGCGCCCTACGTGTCCCACCCACCCACCCCACCCACCCAGCCAACCAGCCAACCACCCAGCGTCGGCGCTTTCCGACCTCCTCGGAACGAAGTCCGTCGAATCCTTGTCCCTCCTCAGAGGCTCCTGTAAAAGAGCATTCTTCCGGCGCCGTCCTCGGCGGTCCGCGACCTTCCTGCCGACCGCAGGACCTTGACGAAGCTGCCAGAGTTCCGAAATCCTTGCGCCTCGTCGGTTCCCTTTTTTTTTTTCGGGACGGTCGCCCACTTTGGATGCCGCGTGGTGACGACGTGGAGGAGAAGTGGATCGGAGCGTGATTTCTGGATTGGTTTGGAGACGTTTTGGAGGGTCGCGTGTGGAACCATGGGTTTGGAGATGTTTTTTTCTTTTAGAACTGACTGAATCTCCAAAAGGTAATTCAATGGGGCAGGGTCAGTGAGTTTATTGTTAATTAGTTACTTATCATTAATTATCATTTATATAACTTATTAACGTAACATTATGCTTTACACACTTTAATTATGCGGAGACGGACATTTTTCTGACAAGCTGACAGGCATCCTGAAATCTGCAAGGGTAATCCCTGAAATACCCGTGCTTGGTGGGGCATGGGCTGATCGCCCCCTCAAAAGCTGTGGGGACATGACTTCAGGGTTAAAACACGTTGAAACTAAAAACTGACGACACTCCCAAACACAAACATGGAAGCGGAAGATGACCCCTTGAAAGACTACCTTCCTCCGACTTGACCAAACCATGATGGTTGGAATGTCCTGCCCACGGGTCACGGAGGCCGATGGGGGCCAGGCCGATTGGCGTTTGCCGCCCCTGAGGTGTCCCCGCGCCCTTTTTGGAGCGCTTCCTGTTGATGGCGCGGGAACACGAGGTCATGTCCGTCTCAGATGCCTTAGAGGTACTGGCGCTGTGGTGCAAAGAGCACATTGATGGAGGTGATTCAGTTCTTGAGAAGCTGATTAAGATCTCAGACATGGAGCCTTGGATGTTCGAAGTTGGATGTCCAAGGGGCTTGGTCTACGCTGAAGAACACATTAGACATGTGGTTTCTCTGTGAACCTCTCTGAAACGTCCAGCGCGGCCAGAGGGCCAGAGGGTCAAAGCCATTTCTTTTCTGCAACAGTTCTCCGATGTAATGAGGCTCAGTTGGGAACGGACATGGGCAGACTCGTCCATCCCCGGCATCTTTCCGTCCTCCATGTCCGAACAGGAGCAGCTCATTTGATCCAACCCGAACAGGACCCAGCGCTGAACCTGCTCGGGATTCCGGCTGCAAGAGCCCTCCACCAAGACCCTGAAAGACAGCGGAGCGTTGAACCTTCTCCAGATGTCTTCGAACACTCGACGACACGGCCAACACGTCCCGTTCTAAGATCAACAAAGTACCGAGTACGGGAGAAAACCTTCACTCGACGAGGTTTTAAGGATCCCTTTTTCATCCGAGATGGCCCCCATCTCTTTCACCAGCCGCCCATCGGCCACGCGAGAGGCCAGCCCGTTTCATCCCGCTCTTTCCGCCCACAAGAAGACCCCCCCCCCCTCCGCGTCCTCCCACCCGGTCGCAAACCTCGTCCGGGACCCACCTCGCTGGAACCGGGTCGGCGCCACCTTCCGCCTTCAACACCGGGAGCTGACGCCGCGGAGCGCTTCACCGAGGAAGCCTCGGAGCTGCGGAAGTTGCAGCAGACGAATTCGCGCTTCGTGGAGTTGTTGAGCTCCACACAGGTCTATCAGATCATGGGCAGCTCCACACGAGTCGGGAGGGAGGGAGGGAGGGAGCACGAAGATGGGAGGTGGACCCCGACCGATGAGGCCACCAAAGAATTTTCCCGGCAACCAAGAGCGGCAAGCATGATCTCACTGGAGGCAGACTTAGGTTTTGTATTCTTTTTCACACCAGGAGGGAGGGCCATCTGAGATGGGCACCCATCCCAAAGTGTCAAAACCCGAAGAAGAGGTGATTGGCTGGCGCGTCCATTGAACCCCCCAGCCCGACAGTGGGTCATGGTATCGAGTTGAGGAGGAGTTATATGGACGGAGTTTTTTTTGAAGATGCAAGTGGATTCTGAGTGAATGAGGGACACTATGTAGCTAGAGGATGGAGGTTAGATGACGTCCATGTGACCATGGGGAGTTCAGGACTTAAGATGATTTTGGGGCGGACCTTAAGTTGCTTTGGACATGGGAGTGATTTGTAGAGATTCTGGTGCATGTTCGAGTTTTCAACTTACGCCTTTTTTTTTTAGATGCTTCACATTCGTAGCAACTGGATGTCAATGATATCTGGATTGCGGTCTGTTCATATCAATTCCACGTGGGTCCTCGCGGATTTATGTTGCTCACTACTCTTTGCATAATGATATAGGTCTCACTAGGTGGCATTTTTTCGGGTCGTTTTCCTATAGTACCAATGGATTTGGCGCAGCAAATGCGGCGCCATGTCTTTGAGCCACACCCATTCAAAGTGAAAGGGGACACAGTGATTGAACCCGTTTCTTTTTTTGTGCACGGCAAGGTCTTTCCAGCGAGAAGAAGGGCTACACCCCTTCAAGAGGACTCAACAGGCTCAAATCCAGAGGACTAAGTTAGACTGTTGATTCATAAGACCCTGCATTCTTGCGTATGGACGGGGGATTTGATGAATGAGCTGTTGACATTCTTCTTGGCACCGTTTCGTGCATCGCTGGAGGCTTTCTGACGGGTCGACAGCCACTGGCCGGCCATGTTCGACCCAATGGCCAGTTCTTGTCCTACCCACTGCAAAACCCCTTTTGGGGTCATTGGGCGGTTTTGCCACACTCAACAAGAACCGGTGGACTGCTCTTCTCTGTTCTTCCCGAGGCAAAGCTGCCTTCTTGTGATCCAAGATGCAGATCTGAACTTCGCGAGGATGTGAGGGAATTGGCCAAAACAGGAATTATGTGGAGTACGTGAGGGACCAAAGAGGGAGAGAGAGAGAGAGCGACACGATCGTGTACACTTTATAATATTTTTGTTTTACACAACAGGTAACTTTTCTAACAATTCTCTCTGCTGTAGAGTTCTTGTTTGTAAAAGGATCGCCGGTCTTGGCCAAATCCCACCTGACAGTCCATGCGGGGCGACACGCACGCCGGTGACACCGATGCTTGGCGCTTCCGCCGGCCATGCGCCGGAAAAGGGTGTCCGTCCTGGCGACGTTTGGTGCCTTGAAAAAGGGGTCACAAAGGCCTTCCGCGTCTTTTGGGGTGACATGTCGTGAGAACTGTTTGGAAGGTCCTCACGACTACTGGCCGATCCACAGACTCACCCACCGGCCCCCCAAAGGGACAGAGATGATAGAGGCCATTGGTATCAACTTCTTGAGCAGGTCTCGCACCTGGAATGTCCATGGTAGCTGCCTTTTCGGATGCCTCCTTCATGGGTCGAAACTCTTGATTCAGAAAGACACCGAGACATTGCTCTTCTTTTAAACTCCACTTCTTATAGGATTTGTATGTCCCTAACCTGCGTGTTGTTTCTCATGGCCCTCACCTGGGCCCTCTTCCCCTATATGACTCTTCCTCTTGGGTGCTTGTTTCCTTCTATATACTTTTCCGTGCAGGTTTGGAGTTGTACAGCGCCCGCGAGAGCAGTCGACCAGGCACATCGCAGGTGGGAAGCGAGAGCGGCGTGCGAGTGTCGGCGGGAGGACATGCTGGAGAGTGGGTGGTGCAGGTCTTCGAATGATTTTGGGAGGTTCTTCCAGGTTCCTCACGGTGTGAAAGCCCAGCACCGATGGACCTTCATGTGTTCCTCGTTTGTCATTTGGATTCATTTGGTAAAAGAGGACACTAAGTGGCACTTCTAACGCTCGGACCGCGCAGTTCCAAGCTTTCTTCATCCAACGGACCGCGGGTGTGGTCCGACCGCCTCCACTCCAAGTTCGATTGGTCATTCTTGAGCCGGCGTGTTCTCCCAACAAACTCAGCAGTCCCTTTCCCTTGGACTAGGAGCAATACTAGGAGCAAAGGGCATCGCTACGAACGGAGCAAGGACGCTACGAACGGGGCTCCTGGTCGTCCTACTAGGAGTAAGAAGCTACTAGGTCCTGGCGTGTCCTGAGATCCGCCACTGCACGGCTTGCCGTCCGCCCTCGGGCGACGTCTCCAGGGAAACGCTCCAGCCAGACCGAACGGCCCCATGTCCTCACGTTGGGCGGCCCAGCGGGCGACTGCGCGAGCCGGCACTGCGCCAAACACAGAGGAGTTCCCAGTAGAGGCCATGGCTGAGACCGAACCATCCATCGCCGAGACCATCGTTCCGTCGTCCAGGACGTCGTGTAGCACGGTCGGAGTCGGCGACGGTGAAACGCGGAGCCGCGGAGCCCTGGTGGAGCGGTTTTTCAAACACAACTTCAGGTGCTCAATATGTCAATGAGGCCAGGAGGAGGCAGGGGTCGCGGTCACCGTGGGATGGCACGGGCGTCTCGTCTCGCCGCTTTTGCGTCAGAGCTAAGGTGTGGGATTCATCGGATACCTGTCGTGTCATATACCTCTCATGGCAAAGATGGATGCACATACATACGTAAGACATCGTAATACATATATGCATGTAACATGTATTATAATCGATAATCATGTATAATATTATATATATATATACATACGTAATGCCTTTGTGTATGCTTCTTAATCCTTTTACCGACCATCATCATCATCCAGTGTCTCTGGGACTGGGGAAGATACGGCAAAAGAATGAGCAATGCGTGTTCAAAAAAGTCCTGAAACGTGTCTTGAACTCCCCCACCAAAAAGATCCACACTTTATTCACCAAGTCCCCGGTTGCTTGAAATGAACCAAGGCGACAGGATGATGCAACCAAACGCGCCATGGAGAAACGCCATGTTATACTCGTCCTTTGGACACCACCTGTTCTTTGTTTTGCGAATCAGGTGATTTCCTATTTTCCCGGTTCCTGGGTCAATCCCCTAACCTGGTGAGTTTGTTCTTCCTTTTTGCCGGTTCCTGGCAACTCCCTGCATGGAAAACTCAACCCCGGTGAACTCCAACCGCCCACCGCCGCCGCACCGCACTGCCTGGCGCGGTGCCAGGCAGTACACCGGCACTCCAGAGGTGCCCTGAAGGGCGTGCGAGGTCGACCTGCGAGGTCTGAGGTGGCACAGAGGTGAAGAGCTAGAGGACTTCTACTAGCACCCGACTTCACAGAGACCTGTTGGAAGGTGCTTCTAGAGTTGGACGTCCAATTCTCCAACACTTCCCTTGCCAAGCATCTCCAAGCATGGAAACACACTCTCGTCTTCCCTTTGCGTGCGGGCGGGCGGGCCCGGTTCCCGCGATTGGTGCGGAAATCCATCCAACTGGGCTGGACGATCTCAACAGAGCACTTCACATTTCCCAAGACCACCCAGAATCATCCTTGGGTCACCCTTCATCTCACCAAATGAGGTTTGCACTGTCAGCGCATAATTGGTTTTGTGTTCGTTCCACCCATCACAGACTCGAAGTTGTGGCTCCCAAACCTGTCTGTTGCGCCAAAACGTTTTCATGGGAGGTGGCAGCTCCATCCTTAGCTCCAGTGAGCGCGCGGGGGGGCCAACAGCAGCCGGGGACTCGACACCGTCAGCCTCCAGATATGAGATGTGATGAGATACCAGGACCCTCCAAGGGGTGTCCAATGGACTACTCCACACTACCTATAGGCTTCCAGACAGGGCACCCCTTAGAGGGTGCTGGTATGGGTTCCTTTCTTCTGTTTTACTTGCCAGAATTTTATTTCGAACCCATCATCTCACACTTTTGATAGAACATGACCATGTTGCATGTTACAACATGTTGCAACACAGGGTTCATTCAGGTTTTGGGTAGGCATATTTACAGAAAATGACTACAGAAAATAGACTGAAACTTGTTGCGGGCACGATTCCCCGAGCCCAGTTTGCCTGGCCTATTTGTTGGGAACCGGTTGATGGGACGAATAATTAGCTCCACATTAGTTCCACTATTTTCCATCTGGGTCATTCTGCTGCAACCATACCAAAGTTTGCCAACACCTCTTATACTTCATTAGACTTCTTTCAGTTTGTGGCATGTCCTGTACGCCCGCGTGCTTGATCCCAGTGAGGAAACTCCTCTTCCCCCATGTCCGGACGGCTCAGTCCGTGACTAGCTGTTTTGCAACATGGATAGATCAACAACGCCCCGGAGTTGTTTCTCGGCCTAGGACCTTATAACATTATTACCCTCATGGACGGTTCATCAACTCGAACTTGTCAGAACCCAGTGGCTAAACCTGTGGAGTTGTCCCCCAAAGAAGAACTGTAGGGGTTCTTACTCTGCTCCAGGGCGGGCTTCAGCAATGTCCACTGTCAAGGTGCTGGGCCACAGCTTAACCCCGACCTTTTGTACATGTGTCCCTTCGGGATCTGGTCATTTGAGGTCCCTCACCTGAGGAGACCTGGCCAAAAAATACAGAGTATATGAGTGTACACGAACTGCCCGCCGGCCCGGAAACTGAAGTCGTATTCTATCATTTTCCAAATTCACAGTTGTGAGAAACGTTGTTTACTGCAGCTTTTGACATGTAGGGCCAGCAACTGGAAGGCTGAATTCCCAAGCCCGGATTTTTTCACCAATTAGGGCACGCTTCAAGTCCTGAAGTTCTTTCGGTGCCGGTTGGGCCACGTGATGATAAGGACTTCGATGAGGATCGAATCTTTTGCAACGGCACCCGGGGTTGGCCTCGTTCGGCCTCCGCGAACGCCTCGCGCTGCCCAGGCGGCCGGGGTGGCTTCCCCAGACCCGCCGAGGGCGCGGCCGCCACCGCCGCGTCGGTGGCGGCGGACCTCTTCGGCGGCCAGGCAACGGGACTGTGGGAGGGGGAGAAGAGGTGGGTTGTGGTAGTTGGGTGTTGGAAGTTGTTTGTGGGCGTGAACCGAAAGGGGAGACTGAGCTGATCATCAGGTGGCGTTTTCAGATTTCCAGCAGTTGCTGCGAAGCGCCAGGCTTGGGCCACCGTGACGTCTGCCACAGCAGCCACGTTTGCAGCTCAGCGGGGGCTCGAAGTCATGGGAGAGAACGGATGGCTGTGACGGAGAAGCGGGTGGAAATGGTCAAATCAATCTGCATTGGAACATCTGGAGGATTCATTCGATTTTCTTGTCGAGTTTGTGATATCAAGATCAAAAAGGCCAGTTGCTATACATTTTGACCCACGCCCCCGTGTAGCTTTGCTTCAGCTTTTTGTTTCGTAGGCTGGCTTGGCCTTTGTTGTCAGATATTGCAAGAACCAACTGACTGAAGACTGCTTGTCCATGCAGGACGGATGCACTTCACAGTGAACGCGGAGGCGCCCTCTCCAGGTCATCGTTTTATTGGTCATCTAGTTGGTGCTTTGAAATTGTACGACCCAATGACCCCCCAGCTAAACCAAAAGTGCTTAGCTGGCCCGGGTACTTTTTCGGGTTGTTACGGCTTAGCTGGCCCCCAAAGGTTCTTTTGTTCTTCCCCAATTGTTCGGACATGCCTGACCTCACCCTCCGTCTTAAACATCCACATCGTTGACGCAACGGACCGCCCTCACATCGCATCTGACACCCAGCCGGACCATCCGCCGGCTTCCGCTCGCAGCCGGACCAGTGAGAAGCACCCAGATGAAGACCGTCCAAGAAGCCTCGGTTGCTTCTTCGTGACCCAGCCCCCAGCCGAGCCCTTCTTCGGTCACAAACACACCTCAAAAATCCAAAAACAACAATCCCCTACCGTAAGAACCCCTCAGTGTGCCCACACTGTTTTCACTGGCTGGACCCTCGGTCGTTCGGTCACGAACTGAAGAAGCTGGAAGAGAGGAATTGAGATATCTATATCAATATCATTATATATTATTGAGATGCATGTGGGTAATGCCTCGGCATGTGCATGTGAACAGCGACGGTTCCGTCGCGATGT